CTCTCTCTCTCTCTCTGTGTGTGTGTGTGTGTGTGTGTGTGTGTGTGTGTGTGTGTGTGTGTGTGTTGGGGGTGGGGGTACATGTATAGAAGGGGATGTCAGCTATCTTCAATTGCTCTCCCTTCATCTTTTGAGACAGAGTCTGTCACTGAACCTGCAACTCATGAATCAGGCTTGAATGGCCTAGGGACCATCCTGTCTCTACTTCTCCAGTATTGGAATTACAGGCACATGTCATTGCACTCAGCTTTTCATATGTGGGTTCTGGGGATCAAACTTAAGCCCTCATGACTTCGTGGCAAGCACTTTACCAAGTGAGCCTTCTCTTCAATCTCTGATTTTTCTACTGACATGTTCACTTACTTTATGTACTGTTGACAACTAGATGTTTTATTGTAAATATGAAACTCTCATGTCTTGATCGGATAGCTGTGTGTACAAATTTGGACATGCCAAAGGGGAGAGAATGCTGAGTCGACATTTACTGATGTTGTTTTCATCTAGGCTAAAACAAAATTTTAGAGAAGATGAGATACCTTAGGAGGGCTTACTGCAGAGATACCCAGTCAACATCATGGAGCCAGTTTAAGAAATTTTCACTACCTGTCTTGTGAGTAAGGTTTCTATTTAATATAATCTTCAGAACTCCTACAAGTTTCTCTTGCCACTGGAGTCATTGACACACATCAGTCTGGCACCCACTTCTATATTCTTAGACTATGTGCAATAATACCAGCCATCAGGCAGCCTGGCATGTTGCCAAATTTGTTAGGAGTGCTGTGACTAAGATAGCTTTAGCATACTGCCTGTTGTTTTTTAATAAAATGGGTATTTTCTAATCTCCAAATTCTTTCTTCTTCACTTTTGCTTGCTTGTTTTTCGAGACTGAGTTTCTCTTTGTGCAGCCCTGGCCATCCTGGAACTCACTCTGTAGACCAGGCTGGCCTCAAACTCATAGACTTGCCTGCCTCTGCCTCCCAACTGCTGAGATTAAGGATGTGCACCACCACGACTGGCCCTACTTGACTTTTTATCACCAATAAAACTATCTCATCAAAAAGAAGAAAACTTTCAAAAGTGTTATACCTGTTAACACAGGAATATTGACTTCTATAATCTAAAATTACATCTCAATACAAAATCCAAAGTAATCTAAAGACAAAACAAACCATCATTGGTAGTTGGCAGCATTTGCGCTAAAAGTCAGATGTGATTTCCATTCACCCCCAAAATAAAGTAAACCAGCTGTGCGAGCCATAAAACTGTGTAGAATAAAATTTTATAGTTGAACATGCTTTTATGTGACATCTCAAGCCCCAGTCATCCTGAGCAGTTAATTCCCGTGATGATATTTTGTTTGTAATCTAACAAATTAAGCTTGCCTCTAAATCAGAGTGCAGAACTAGCCACACTAGTTAGCCAAAGACTCCAGGCAGTGGTGGCACACACCTTTAACCCCAGCACTCAGGAGTCAGAGGCAGACAGATCTCTGTGAGTTCAAGGCCACCCTGGGCTACATGAGATTGATCCAGTCTAAAAGAGAAACAGAGCCAGTCAGTGATGGTCCACACTATTGATCCCAGCACTTGGGATCACATGCCTTTAATCCCAGCACTAGGGAGGTAGAGACAGAAATGATATGGCTGGGCAGAGAGAAGAATATAAGGAGAGAGAAGACAGGAGCTCATTGAATTCAGTCTGAGGATTCGTAGTGACAGGATCGCCCCTTTGGTCTGAGGCTTCAGAAGTAAGAACTAGTGGCTGGCTGTTCTACTTCTCTCATCTTTCAGCATTAACCCCTTACCTGAGTCTGGATTTTTATTATTAAAACCAATTAGAATTTGAGCTACAAATTCTATTCATGGAAATTCATTAAAAGAGTCAGAATAATGTTTCTTGTATCAACCAAATGTCTCTGAACTAGATACTGCATATTGCTATGGAATATAAAGACCAATCAATAACAGAATCTGTTCCTTCAACAAGCTCAGTCTAGATCACAACTGAAATTCAACACTATCCACAATAGGGAACACACTCTCATTGGCCAGAGCGACCTCAGGGTGTGATGAGATTCCAACAAAGCACAGGAGAACTTGACTGGTGAGGATGCTAGAAATGCTTCCCAGAGTAACTTGGATTTTGCTATGCTGTTTTGAGACAGGTCCTGCTGCAATGCCCAGTGCTCAAGTGATTCTTCTGCCTCAGTTATCCAAGTAATATAACAACAACTGGCACCACTGTACCCAGTCTTTGTAACTCAGAATTTGGAGGACAATAGTGGCAGTGGGGGTGAGAGTGCAGTGTGGATGGGGAAGCATATCAATGCAGAGAAAAATAAAGAATAATAAAACCATATTCAGAGAAGCCATAGACAGCAGATTGGTTTGGTTAGTGTGTAAAATTCATGAGGATTTCTACAATACACTGTGCAGGGGTGTCTTTAAAAGCCTCCTATTTGAAACAGAATGAAATTGAGGTTACTAGATTCCCTTTAAATTTACAGACATCAACTGTGAAAAAGTGAGGATGTATTCCCAGTAGCCAGAAAGGAAAGGAGTCTGAAAAACAGAGATAAGAGTATGGCTGAGCAGCAGGAGCTCTGGGAGCTTAGAAACCCTCCCAAGGATCCAAGAGTATGGGCTTTAACACCATACAACAGCCAGGGTCTGGCCCTAAGGAGGGGCTTAGGACTAGGGAACAACTTCAGAGGGCTGCAACCTCAATGAATAAAAAGAATGTGCCAAAAAAGAAAGAAAAATAAATGTCTACCGATTGACTGGGAACTAAAGGCACCGTCTTTCTCCAGAGTTTGGGAAACATGACAGGAGCAAATGAAAATTTTGACCTTTAAGGTCTTTGGGATTCTCACAAGTAAAAGCTCATTAAACATTAATTCAAAATAAAACAAACAAAATGAATGATGAGATTAAAGGAGACAAAATGGGTGAAAATCTGCAAATATAACAGAGAAAAATCCCAGGATCTTAGGGAGAGAAAAACATCATCAGCCCAAGAGATAATAAGAATACAAATACTGGTGTTGGGACAACTGGATTAAGTCTACAAAAAGACAAAAAAAAAGATCCATATTGCATAGCAAACAGATAAATGGAGATCAAAGACTTAAACACAAAGCAAGAAATCAAACTAGAGGAGCTCAGAATGGTGATTCACATTTGTAATTCACAGCAAGCAGGAAACAGGCAGGATTGCTTTGAGTTCAAGGCCAGGCTTGAACTCAAACAATACAATACATCACAATCAACAGCTGAATAATAACAATACAACACATCACAACTGAAAAGAGAGACAAAAAATGATTTTTTTTTAAGACTCTAAGAAACCGATGGATCTCTTGTGAGTTTCAGGCCAAACTGATCACAGTGAGTTGTGAGTTCTAGGCCAGCTAGAACTACATCGCAAAACCCTGACTCACAAAAAAGAAAAAAGAATGTACATAATGACTCTAAATTCTACTGTTATATTATCATCCCATGGGAGCTTCTGAGAACATTTTCCAGTGCCCTATCCCAAACTTACTGAATGGATGGATCACCAATGAGACAAGTACAGAACAGTTAAGACTCTGCAGCACTGAATCAACTTGCCCAACCCACAATAAACACAGACGCCTCAAAGTGTTCCAGGCACAAACACAATTCAGCTATAGTTTATGAACCAAACCAGTTACATACATGAGTGAGCTTCCTACAAGAATAGCCACACAATAACAGATTCAAGGAAGTGTCTAACAAACTCTGATATACATGCCATTGAGTAAATGCAAATGAGTTTTACAATATGGTCTAAATCTCTGAACAGAAACTGTCAGGATGTTTAGACTGGCGTGCTTCTCACTTTTAAAAATGTAACTAGCTGCAGATCCGCAAGATCTCAGCTACCATTACTCATGTACTCGTCCAACTTCCCGTTAAGAAATTCCTCAACTCTTTTATAGGCTAAACAGCTGCATCTACCTGTCAGTCCGACTAAGTTAGTGATGAGATCAGGACACTTGCCAGGAACAGAAGGAGACAGCTTGCTAGATTCCAACATTTCCACCTGCCATCATATGAAATGACTGGTTTAGTATCTGTACAATGTAGGCATATAACACATACCTCACAGCATTATACAGACAGGTATGGAATTAAATGATACTAAAAGCCTTCTGGGAAAAGTTCGTGTTCTAGACAGTAGGCTGGGTTCATCCTGCTCTAATTGCCTTGATGCTGCCTGCAGCAGACCATTCCTCGCAAACATTACATCCTGCCACTTCCATGTCAAGATAATAAATTCCTCCACTGTCCAAAGTTATCTTGTTTGAAGCTGCCAGGCAGAAGAAGCACAGCAGCTAGCACAGTACAGATTCACAAATACTGGCCATGTGAGTGATCTGCCAATGTCTGTAGTAAGAAGCAGAGCTGAACGATAGCCTGCAGGATCAGAGTTCTATCCATGGCCTCCCACTCTTCTGAGGTTTATTCCCACACAGCTGAAACTTTGCAAAGCATCATTCCTATCTACTCCATTTCATCTATCTTTTTTATACATGAATGATGTGCACACATGTGTGATATGTGCTCACATATGTGTGCATATGTACACACAGAAACCAGAGGCTTATACCAAAGTACGTCCTGGATTTCTCTCTACTTCACTTATTGAGGTAGGGTCTCTCACTGGACCCAGAGCTTGCTGATTTGGCTACTCTAGCTAGCCAGCCTATCTCAGGGACTCCTGTCTCTGCCTCTGGAATGCTGGGTTTACAGGTGCTACACCATGACCACCCAACTTTTATGTGGGTTCTGGGAATCCAAACTCTGATCATCATGCTTGCACTGTAAATGCTTTATCCACTGGGTCACCTTGCCAGCCCCTAACTCATCTCATTTTATAACCCTCCTTTCTAATGCTTAGTATCTACCATCACTCTAGAAGACAGAGAGGTAAAGTATGGTAAACCTTTTTACTTAATAGGGGGAAATAGCTAACACTACTAGGGAACATGATTCTATGGGCCATGCTCCCTTAGTCAAAAAGAATTCAAAGTTGTGACAGGCATCACAGTTACATAGTGGAGCGGGAATGAGATACCTGCTGGTGAACTGAACAGGTCAGACGTGAGAAAATATATCTACTATCTTCTAACAGCTCAGTCATCAAGCAGGAATCACGGGACAATATTTAGCCTGAGGCTTCTTTGAGAAGATCACATGGCTTAGACAGTGAAATCTCTGCTGTAGGAAGCTTGTATTAAGTCAGGCTTTCGTTTTCTTTTTCATCTCACCAGTTTGCATCACTTTTAAGATGTTAATTGAAAGTGTTAGAAGTTTCTCAAAAGAAGACGTACAGATGGCCAACAGACACGAAAAATGCTCAAAGCCACAAAGGTGTGTAAATTAAAGCCACAATGAGATACTGCCTCATGTCAGCCAGAACAGCTGCTATCAGAAAGAACAAAGATAACAAGTGCTGGCAAGGATCTGGGGAACAGTGAGTCCTCATGTACTGCTGGGAGAATCGTAAGCTATAAGGAGGAGCTTAGAAGGAAGTTCCTTAAAAAGTTAAAATTAGGCCTGCACAAGCCCATAAAGGTACTAGCTGGCAATGCTGATGATCCGGGTTTGAGTCCTGGAACCCACATGGTGGAAATAGAGAAGCACGAGCGCCTGCATCCATACTCTCACACATTATCAATGTAAAAAAATTAAAACGAAGTCACCATATGACCCAGCAATTCTAGATCTTAGCATACATCAAGGAGGAGAAGTGAGTACCGGAAGAAACCATTGTCCTCCCATCTTTATTTGCAATACTATTCCCAATAGTATTGTGGAAGTGTGGAAGTGTGGAAGTGGATAAAGAAAATGTGATCCAAATACACCATAAAAAATGTTGTAAAAAAAAAAAAAAAAAAAAAAAAAAAAAAAATGCTACCCAGTTATTTGAGGCAACATGAATGAGCTGGAAAGCCTTATGTAAGTGAAATAAGCCAGGCAAGGGCAAATACCACATGATCTCATTCATATTTGAAACCAAATTAAGGATCTCACAGGTGGAGAGTGAGATGGGAAGAAGTTGATCAAAACACAAAGTTAATAAAGAAGAATAAGAAGTTCTAATGTGCTATATTACATAGCAGGGTGACTATCAAGATGTCCAACCTTTTCACACTGGGATAGGATATTGTCACCTCAAATGTACTGGGTCCCATTCATAGCTATTCTGGGACACATGTGGCTACAGGCTGCAGGTTGAAAATGCCTTCTAGATAATGATGATGTACTGTGTGGCGCAACAGAATTTTGAATATTCTTACCATAAAGAAATGACAATATTAGTAGAAAGATATTTAACCAGAACTAAACATTACACAGTGCAGACATGTATTGAATGTTAAATTCATTTAATTTTTATGTTTTTATGTATTAGATAAGAAATACATTTAAGTTAAAAATGTCAACCTGGAGCTAGGGAGATAACTCAGTGGGTAAAGTGCTTACCCCACAGCCATGGGGGACCCAAGTTTGGTTCCCCAGAATATTTTGAAAGAGGGGGGGGGGGGGGGGGGGGGAAGACCCCTGAGGCTCATTGCCCAGATGGCCTCATTTAATCGATGAGATCCAGACCAGTGACAGCTGCTGCCTCAGTGGAGACAGGCAGCATTTCTGAGGATGCTACTTGAGGGTGCCTTTGTCTATATGCGCAACTGTATGGCTATGCACTGCATGCGCGGCCTTCCCACATGAATATGAATACAAACACACATGCTCACTTAAAAAAATTTAAAGGATAAAAAGAAAAAATAAAGAATAAATGTAAACAAATTCACATCTTTAGTCTAAAGCAAGTCATGCAAAGAACCTTCTAGTTGACTTAAAAAAAAAATTAAATACCAAATGACAAATTCCTGGCCACTTAAGTGTGTACAATGAATTGAAGAAGGACATAAGGTAGCCACTATTGCAAAAACAAGAATGCTGAGTTTATTCATGTTGGATATGCTACTGTAAGGAATAGCCTTGAATTGTGAATTCCACAGGCCTCAGCTTGAGAACACATTCCTTGAGCAGCAAGGAGACCATCACAACCTTTAAGGCTGTACACTATGCTCGTCAATCCTTATTTAAAGCAAGTTAACTACAGTCTACTTACCCTACTGTCTCTGTATATATCGAACACAACTGCAAAGAAGAAAAAACTCAGTTACTAATAAACTAATACTTTTATAATCTTTATTTCTTTTTGAAAACTTAAGTATACTTTATTACTAAACACAGTAGAAGATCATTAGTCTTGAACACTTAATACTTCTAAGTCTCCAAACTCAGTCAGGAATGGTGACCCACACTCCTTAGCACTGGGGAAACTGAGGCAGGAAGATTGCTACAAGGTCAGGGTCAACCTGAACTGCCACTGGCATCCAGCCTAATGAACTACAGTGTGAGACTCTGTCCCAAAACAACAATTAACTGACTCACTGATGAAATAAAATTACAGACAGAAAAGCACCCTGTGCTGTGTTCTTTGTGTAACTGCCTCCTCCTTCTCTACCCTCTAACTGTAATGATTCCTCACACTTAAAAATGCAAACCGAATGCCAGTATCATCTGAACCAGTTGCTCACATGGGCAGAGGAAGCTGTCACCAAGAGAAATACTAATAAAAGGAGCATCCATCACTTATCTGAGGCGTGAAATGAGTAAAATTTGTCATAAGAAAGCACAAAATGTAATTATGACACAGCACAATTCATCTTCTTTTTTAATTAAATCTGCTATGGAACCCCGTTGTGGCAAGGAGAAAAGGCATAAATCATAGGTATAATTCTAGGCTATTCAAAAACTCACTTGCATACCGCAAACTTTCAGTTCCTCAAAACAACCCCCAGCTGTTTGCTGTGCAGCCACTGCTATCTTTGATTACATAGACAGAAGCTAAAAAAGAGAAGCACTCTGCTCCACAGATAGATACTGTGAAACATACAGCATCTACAAGCATGGAGAGAGAACTGCCTTGGTGTCCAATAACATCATCTAATTAAATGAGGGGAAATGTACACAGAAATCATCAGGGATAACAACTGGTAGCATAGTAACATGCTAAAAGCACAGACCTTTGAACTGAGTGTTAAAGATGGACCAAAGTGAGTGAGGCTCAGTAACCAGTCTCACATCACTGCACCGACAGAGGATACTCACAGTCTTCATCTAAGAACTTATACTGGATGTGTTCCTTGAAAAAGTCTTGAATGCATCTGCAAATTTCTTCTTTTTGTTTAGAAATATGATCATAGTATTGCGTGTAGTCCCGCTGAGAAATACCTGACAAGAAAACATTCATGGCTATTATTATATAATATTCCTAAAATGCCAACATGTAATTCAAAGTTGTAATCAAAGCCATTAAAGCCAGCCAAAACACCAAGCAGGTGAGCACTGCAGCACAAATGACTCAACTACAAAGATCATGTGGATAAGTAAATCTTAAGCTCCATATTGCCATCCATTCTTAATTTTATTTAGCAAAATGGAAAGAATTCAGTCACAAAAAGGCTTGTTGAGTAAAATGTGCAAGTGGCAATTCTAAACCTGTACATATGTGCTTTTATTTTTCTAAGACAGTCTCTTCAAATCAATAGACTCTTCCAGTGTGAGTGGGGAGTAAAAGAGCCTTCTCACACACCTGCCATGTTCACACTGTATTTATAAAAGCAGTCTATTTTCCCTGTTTTGGGGAAGCTGATCTGTCTTCAGAACCTGATCTTTCAAGTCAGAGAAAAATCAAACATTCCTTTTTTTAAAAAAGTGACTTCCAAATATACTGAAGGTGCTGTTGCATGAAGCCCTCAATGTATTGTAGTCCTAGAGAAAAGGTTTCTGCTGTAAAGAAAGGCTTCCGATTCCTTAGTCTTAGTCTTTCTCTTAAGCATACTTAAACTAAGGATTATCTGACAGTCAAATGTCCACATTTATTTTAGTTATGGAAATGAATGCCAATGTCACCTTCAATGAACAGTGGTGAGCTGATATTCAATTACATGTCCCTTCATTAACAAATTTATTTTATAGAAAACATGTACTGTCTGATGGGAACAAATGCAGAGACACAGTCAAACATTAGGCAGAGCTTTCAGAATCCTGTGGATGAGGGGGAGGAAGCATTATAGGAACAAAGGGGTCAAGGGGTCACAAGAAAACCCTCAGAATCAACTAACCGGGGCTCACAGAGACTGAACCAACAACCAGAAAGCCTGCATGAGATTGACTTAAGCCCGCTGCAGATATGTTACAGTTTTGTAGCTTGGTCTTCTTGGGGGACTCCTAACAGTGGGAGAAGGGGCTGTCTCTGAGTCTTCTGCCATCTTTTGGGACCCTACTACTCATACTTGGTTGCCTTGTCTAGTCTTAATACAAGGGGAGATGCCCAGTCTTACTGCAACTTGATATGCCATGTTTGGCTGACATCTGTAGGAGGCCTGCCCTTTTCTGAAGAGGAGGAGTGGATTGGGATGGGAGTAGGGAAGGGGTGGGGGGAGCAATAGGGGGGCTGGGAGAAGAAGAGGGAGGGGAACTGCAGTTGGAATGTAATCATCATCATCATCATCATTAAAAAATGCGTTGGAAAATTTTTAAAAGACCAAGTTATCATCAGCATTTAGCCTGAATGAGTGATAGTTTACAAAATATTAACTTCAGAGGTAAGAAAACAAGCAATGTACTTGTTTGTTGAATATATTTTCTTTTGCTCATGTAATAAATAGTGCATTAATAACAGAAATAAAGATTGTAGGGGGCTGGAGAGATGTCTCACAGTTAAGAGTACATACTGCTCTTAAGGGGACTTAAGCTTGGTTCCCAGCATCCATGTTAAGATATCTTAGGACTCCCTGCAGCTTCAACTCCAGGCAGATTCAGCACTTCTGGCCTCCACGGGCATCTGCACTATGTGTACATACCCCCACACAGAAACACACATACACATAAATAAATCTTAAAAGGAAAAAAAAGATTGTTAAAACTTGGCTTTTATGATATTTACAACAAGCACTGAATCAGGTGTTTTTCAGTGCTATGATCCAACCACAAAGCACTTTATTGATAGTAATACAAAACTTTCTGCCAGCAAGTAGGTAACATTACAGATACTGTGTGTTGAGCTATTCCCTCCATCTCTAGACGCCAGACAAGACTTAACAGTGCCACCTTTCTGTGCAGAAATCAAACATAGGCTCAGGACCCTTGGTAACATGGAGCTTGAGACTCAATACCAAATAGAGGCAGAAGCAGGAAGCAGAACTGACCATTCCCCTGTCCTAATCACTGAAATTATGTCCTTTGAAAGCTTGCCTTCTTTTCTTTGGTTATTTTATTTTTTAATAAAACATGGTAATTGTACATATTTATGATATGATAAAAATAATAAAATTAATATATTAACACAATGAAATACAATTCAACCATTAAATTACAAAAATTTTAAGATTTACAACATAGTTATCTTCCTGTTTTAAAAACAAAAACATTTACCATTTGTTTAATTTATGTTCATGCACATGTGAACACACACCTGTAAGCAAACAAGTTCATGTGGTGCTCAAAGAACAACCTATGGAAATTAGTGCTCTCCTTCCAACATGTAAGCTCCAGGGACTGAAGTCAGGTCATCAGACTTGGTGACCTTTATGCACTGAGCTACCTCACTAACTACCTTCTTTTGAAGATGACTTTGGGGCTAGAACTATAACAGAGCACTTGCCTAGCATATACCAGGATCTGGAAACACATACAGATTAAAGATTACCTTTAAGGATAAAAAGAACTCACCAATAAGCTTGTTTTCCTTGACAAAACATCGGAATTCAGCCCCAGGAATTAATTCACACCATTTTCGGAGGACAAGCTGTAGACAAATGAATAAATAGAACTATACAAGAAAACCCTTTCATGTCAAGACCTTATTATAATAATTGCCCTAAAAGTGGTTTTGAGAAAAAGAGGCCACTTAAAACAGGAGATGTGACAGGAGATGCAGGCAGCAGAGCTGCGACCTATTATTCTAATAGGAAAAATTGTTCTGAAATACTTTAGGACAAAATGCATCCTTGTCAACACTGGGGTTTAGGTTTGGCTCAGAGGCTGAGCACTCGCTAAGAAGCTTAAAGCCCTCAGAGTGTCCCAGGCAAAACTTGCTCATTCTGAAAGCTCAGACACAATACTAGACACCACAGATAATGAAGTCAAAGCTCACCACCACTGTGTCACAAACTAGCCTGTGGCTTATATATTGTGACCCTCTTGAAGAACACCAAAAATAAAATAATTTCAGCACTGAGGCCCTGTGCTCAATCATCATCAGCACAGTGTTGTAAAAATCTTTAAGATGGTGTATGAACTACTCATGAAGAGTCTCAGTCCCTCTCCTCTTCCTCTCTCCTTTATTAAGAAAAGGAAGGACCAAAATGTTATCCCTGAGGACATAACTAAGTAGTGGTTCCTCAATTTTTATGGTATTTAAACTTTCTGATAATCATTTCCTCTTCTTAAAGAAAAGTAAGTTTCTTTTTTGAAAATGTCTTAAGACTTCAAGTCCATTATGTATTTTTGCGAGTGTTGGGTCAAGCCTTGCAAATGTGGTATTTTAAAAACATGACAAGGAGCAAGAGAGATAGTTCAGCAGTTAAGAGCAATTGCTGCTCTTGCAGAGAACCTGGGTTCAATTCCCAGCACCCACATGATAGTCCACAAACTCCTGTAACGCCAGTTCTAGGGAATCCAATGCTCTCTTCTGACTTCTATGGGCACCAAACACACACATAATACATAAACATATATGTTGGTAAAACACTCATGTATAAAATGAAATGAACAAATTAAATTAAAAAAATTAAAAAAAGCAAAGAAACCCTGTGAGCCTCAAACTAAAATATTGTACATTCTTGTGTAGTAAAAGTTGATAATGGGGTAGGGTGCCTGTATAATATGGCTATGGAAATTTTATTTAGCAACAAATAAGCAACTACAGCATATTAACAGCAACGAGTAACACACAGTGGTTGATCTGTAGAGGACAAAAGGGTAAAGCCTTTCTCTTTGCCCAATCTTTCTGTTGTCCTTAGAAGTAGCCAGAGCTTTCTGGTTCTTATTTGTCTTTCTAGAAGTAGTCCAGGAATATATAAGTATATAGCATATGGAAACATTTTTAAAAATACAGACAGAAGCATATGCTACATGGATTTTGCTTGCAACATTTTTCACTTTAATTACTTGAGGAATATCACTTCCCTAGCTTTAACTCTTGTGTCTTACCATGATGATGCTGTATCAAAACAAAGAAATACAACAGCAAAGGACTGGTAGGCAAATCTGAGCTTTAAATGATGACATTTCCACCAGGATTATACATTAATGAAAGACTAAAGAAACAGTCTTTGCAGTGCTTGTGCAGCTAGCACCGAGTGCTTACACATAACAGGTGTTTCACAGGAACTTGTTCAGCAAACCAGTAGGTGTAAATATGTAATATGCATATATAAATGATGCCATAAAGATTGGATAATGATATGGGAAAACATACTCTGCAAATCAGTGGGGAAAAAAGATCCCAGTAACAAACACCTTAAGACCTACTGCTTAATGGCCTAATAATAAGTTAAATGTTCTATAATAATCAGAGAAAATCTATCAGTATAGTTATTTAACACAAAGAATATTCAATACAGTGAGTATCAGTGAACAATATTTTTTCTTTATGATGCTAGGGACAAACCCAGGGCCCAAAACATGGCACATGAACTAGGCTGCATCACCAGTCTACAGACAAAAACAGGTACATACATGTCTAGAAGCAAATAATAAAGACAAAAAATTTAATCATGGCACTAATTATAAAACATTAAAAAACCAAATATGAAAATGTTTTGCAATTAGCAAACAAAAATGGCCACACTTGCTTCAAATTTTTCAGAAATACCCTATCTTAGTAATGCAAATTCACAAAGATCAAATGTAATTACAAATGATAGCCTACTACGTAGCATTTAAAGCACAAGAACACTCCAAATTTAACTAATTGGTTACAAAATTAGCTGTATTTAAGAACAGTGCCTATTTGAGAGGTATTTATTTATATGTACATTTTCAAAAAATGGAGTAAAAGCTAGAGCTTGCAATGATTATAATTATAAAGTTGTGTCATTACTCTCCATTCTCTACATGTTCTTTATGAGTGGATGATATAAAGAGGTAAAGTGAGGATGATAATTTTTCCTGTTAGTGTAGTTTGGATGTGGAATGCCCCCCATAGGCTCCTACTTTCAGTGTTTGGTCTCCAGCTTGTGCTATTTTGATGACTATGGAGGAGCTGGTAGGTGGTGGCCCTGGCTGGCAGACACAGGTAACAGTAAGATGCAGGCTCTGAACCAGATTTGGTTGGGTGAAAAGTACAAAGGCATTTATTTTATTCAAGAATATGAATATTCTCTGTGTATAGTACATATATTTGAATACACAGGCTATAAATAGTACATACTCATTTTTCTTTCTGTGGTGGTTTGAATAAGAATGGCCCTCACATGCTCATAGATTTGAATGCTTGGTCACTAGGTAGTGGCACTACTAGAAGGTGTGGCCTTGTTGGAGAAAGTGCTTCACTAGGGGTGAGCTCTGAAGTTTCAAATGCTCAAGGTAAGCCCCATGTCTCTCTCTTCCTTCTGCCTACCAATCTGGATGTACAACTCTCATCTAACTCTCCAGCAACTGTCTGCCTGAATGCCACCATGTTTCCCAACATGATGATAATAGACTAAACCTCTGACACTGTAAGGAAGCCCTAATTAAGTGTTTTCTTCTCATGGTGTCTCTTTACAGCAATAGAACACTGACTAAGACACTTTCTCCTGGTCCCCTCTCTGTTTGAGATAGGGTCTCACTATGTGGCCTTGACTGGCCTGAAAATTACTTTGTAGACAAGGCTGGCCTTGAACTCAGTGATCTGCCTGCCTCCGCTGGGATTAAAGGTATGTATCACCATGCCCCACCTAAATAATACATAGTCTTCTATATGTATGACAAGTTTCTTAAATTTAAAAATTTAGTGTTTCTATGTTCAAACGATTTATTCATTTATAAAGAAGCAGCACTATTCCATGATCTTGATTGGGATTCTTAGGGTTATAAAGAAAAAAGATGCTTACCTCGTATTCTATAGAAGGATCTGGAGAATCATCAGTACAATGGATGAATCTTTGAAGAGAAAAAAATGCAACTAAGTATTTTTTTTATATGTGAGTTTTGTGCACAGACATGCTCATAATTAATGTGAGAGTCAGATTTCATAGAAAGCATCTAGAAACAAGGAAATTCAGCCAATAGTTATTAAGCATTACTTGGTGTTGTGCACTGTGTCATCTCATTTAATCCTCAAAACAGAATGAAGAGCTCATACATTCATAATCTCCATTTTTTTTGTGGGCAAAGAAACTAAAATTTAAGTGTCCAAGCTTCAAAAATAAGCTAGGACTATATGCAACTCAGGCTGCCCAGCTTCAGTGAAGGTAGGATGCTACTACCCACTCTCAGTGTTGGTTCAACTGATGAGTCACCAGGCTGCATTGTTCTATGCCACTGAGAACCACACAAAGTGGCCACACTCTTTTTTCAATGGAGGTAGGATGGCATGACATTATCCACCTTACTGCTCACTCTGTGGGTGAGTCAGCATGCTGACTACTGCTCCATGACCATTAGCTTGGCCACTGAAAGCCACACAAAGTGGCTGTCATTTCAAAAATATGTTTGATAGAACAATTCAGCCCTCCACTACACACTCCCCTCTAAGCACTGTTTCATGAACAATGATACATACCAGAATAAAACATCCATCTATGCCAAGCACTGGGCTAGGCATCAGAAGCACAAAAGCACCTAGGACTCTGATGTCCTGTAAGAGGTGTATCAGAGAAAGCTATTAGATGTACAGACAACGTCAGAACACTGGGGTGAATAAAATAAAATACTGTAACATCATAAATGTAGAACTAACTGGCTGGCTGTCATGTGAGGGGAGAGGAGGAAGTAGAAAAGGAGTTCATGTGTAAGACAAAGGGAAATGTGTCAAGGCAGGAAGAGGAAAGATAGGGCAAGGAGCTACATGAGATTAGTATCAGTGGGGTGCAAAACACAAGGGGAAGTGCCAGCGATAAGGATGGATGAAAATTTGGACAAGGAGTTCTGGTTAGATTTTTTTCACTTTGACACAAACTAGAGTCACCTGAGAAGAGGGAACCATATTGAGGAACTACCTCCATCAGAATGGCCTGTGGACATGTCTGTGGGGCATTTGTTTTTTGCTGATGGTTGATATGGGAGGGCCCAGTCCACTGTGGGCAGTGCTAGTCCAGGCCAGGTGGTCCTGAGTTGTATACAGAAATTAGGCTGAGCAAGCCATGGGGAGCAAGTCAGTAAGCAGCATCCCAATATGGTCTCTGCTTTAGTTTCTGCCTTAGCTTCCCTTGATAATAGCTGTTAAGTAGTAAGATGAACTAAATCCTTTGCTCCTCAAGTTGCTTTGGGTCTGTGTTTTATCACAACATAAGACAAGCAAGCTAAGACAAGGAGGAAGCCCAGACAATGATGCCCTAGGGGTGGTAGTAGGGGACTATAAAGGAGATCATTACATTTTAATGCATTAAAACTGTCAGGATGGCACAATGTTTTGAGATAGTGTGGGAGAAAGACTGGCAATGGGAGGCAGACAGTGAAAGGGCTTATTACAATAGTCTCAGGAAGTGATGAAAGGCTAAGTGAGGCAATGGGAAGGGTAAGGGAGAAGAAAAAAAAAAGCACCATACAAAGCCTTTGGGAAGATCAAGTCACTCTAACTTAGTGAGGGCTTAAAAATGAAGGAACAGGGCTGTCGAGATGGCTCAGTTGTTAAGAATGTATTGTTCTTGCAGAGGATCCAAGTTCAATTCCCAGCATCCACATGAGGCAGCTTACAATTGCTTGTAATTCCAGCTCCAGGGGATAGCCCTAACCTCAGATACATGAACATATACAGACATACACACATGTACACCCAAATAAATAGTAATGATATTTTTTTAAAAAAAGGAAGGAACAGACGGGTGGAGGTGGCACATTCCTTCAATCCCAGGACTCAGGAGGCAGAGGCAGGTGGATTTCTGTGAATTCAAGAGCAGCCTGGTCTACAGAGCGAGTCCCAGGATGCCAAGGATCACCCCATCCGGGTATGGGAGTCCCTGAAGAATAGATGAGTTAGGATTCAGCAGTGACACAGGACAGGCTCCAAAGTTACACAGAGAAACCTTGTCTCGAAAAACCAAAAAGGACCGACAGAGTGACCAGGATAAGTCTGGGATCAATTAGGGGTTGAAGCTGATGCCATTTGCCAGAACAGGGGAAAAGCAGGTGGTGCAGGGTAAGGAAAAGAGAAGAGTATTTAAGTAAGTAGAACTGAGACAGGGAAACCACAGAGAAGTTGAGTAAGGCCACTAAAGTGAGGAGACCCAGAGAGAGAGAGGCCAGGGGAGAAAAGGTGGCCTAAGAGCTCACCCAAGGAAGGAAAAGTGACATCTAGACAAATGGCAGAATCCTGGGGGACAGCAACATTTAATGAGCAAGTGGAAGAAAAACACCTCAGGGAAGATTAAAGTAGGAAACATGAAGCGGCACACTGAAAGACAATGGTTTCAAAAACAAAAATAGTGGCCACAGCAATTTTTAAGAGTATGCCCAAAGACAGGGAATAGGGAAGCGGACAGGCAAGCAAAGGCAGGAAGGCAGGACCATTCACTGAACCCAGAGCTTGCCAGTTCAGCTAGACTGGATGGCCAGTAAACCTATGGATACTCCTCTCTCCCCAAGGCTATGATTACAGCTATTTATCTGGATTCTGAGGGTCCTAATGAATTCAGGTCTTCATGCTCCCATGGCAAGCAATTTATTGAATAAGCCCTCTCAACAGCTCCTTGTTTTTATTTTTTATTATTTAAATTAGAAAAAAAAATCTTATTTTACATATTAACCCCAGTTCCCTCTCCCTCCCATCCTTCCACGCCCCACACCGACCCCATCCCATCCCTCTGCTGCTCCATAGAAAGGATGAGGCCTTCCATGGGGGGGGGATCTATCACATCATTTGGAGGAGGGCCTAGGCCCTCTCCTGTGTGTCTAGGTTGAGAGAGTATCCCTCCATGGGGAATGGGCTCCCAAAGTCCATTTGTGCAATAGGGATAAATACTATTCCACTACCAGAGGCCCCATAGACTGCCCAGGCCTCCTAACTGACACCCACGTTCAGGGGGCCTGGGTCTGTCCCATGCTGGTTTCTGAGCTGTCAGTCTGGGGTCCATGAGCTCCCCCTTGTTCAGGTCAGCTGGTTCTGTGGGTTTCCCCAGCCTGGTCTTGACCCTTTTCTCATCACTCCTCCCTCTCTGCAACTGGATTCCAGGAATTTGCCTCAGTGCCTAGCTGTGGGTCTCTGCTTCTGCTTCCATGAACCATCAGAGATAGTTTGACAAAAGAGAAGCGGGCTGGAGAGGTGGCTCAGAGGTTAAGAGTACTGGCTGCTCTTCCAAAGGTCCTGAGTTTAATCCCCAGCAACCACATGGTGGCTCACAACCATCTGCAATGAGATATGGTGCCCTTTTCTGGCCTGCAGGCATATATGATATGTGCAGACAGAATACTGTATACATAAAAAATAAATAAATCTTTAAAAATAAAAATAGGAGCAAAAAAAGATAGTTGTGAAATGGCTTGTACATACACATAACTTGTAACATATATATACATATACATATATATGTATATATCTTATAGTCAAGAGATATTTGTGAAAAAATAGTCATAAACAAAACAAAAAGTATTTTTCTTTCTTTGTGGCTATTATGGTTTGAATGTGAGATGTCCCTTTTAAGTTCATGTGCTGATCACTGGTCTCTAGATGGAAATGTGGAAACTCTAGCAGGTAGTGTCTAGCTGACCAATGTGGAGATGGGTATTTCAAGTCAGACTCGGCACAATCCCTTCCCCGTCTCTGCTTCCTAGGCACCATGAGGTTTGCACCCCTCTACCATGATGTTCTGCCTTACCACAGGCACATAGCCGTGAGGCCATAACTCCTAGCAGTAAAGCCCACACACTGTGAGCTGAACTAGACCTTTTCCTCTTGCCTTCTCACAACGGTAACAATTCAGCTAATACACACGTGCTGGTGATCAAGTGCTCTATCAATGAAAGCACAGAAATTTTCTGGCACAAGAAAAATAAAATAAAATAAATAAATAAAATCATATGCCGGGCGTTGGTGGCACACGCTTTAGTCCCAGCACTCAGGAGACAGAGGCAGAGGCAGGTGGATCTCTTTGAGTTCAAAGCCAGCCTGGTCTACAGAGCAAGTTCCAGGACAGCATCCAAAGCCACAGAGAAACCTTGTCTAAAAAAAAAAAAAAAAAACACAGACAAAAAAAATGTCTTGAGGCTGGCAAGATAGGTGTTAGGATTCATGTTTAGCAAGAAGAAAGCCTTGGATTCATTTTAAAGGAGGGCAGCATCAAGTCATTCAAACACAAACCCAAATGTGAAAGCGTTTTACTTCATTGAATGTGTGATCATGTTAGTACCTCCGCAATCACTTATGTTTTACATTGCAAATAGTAATAATTTTAATTTACTTGATTGGCTGAAATCCAGAGAAAGCAGACTTCTATTACCACTAATAACTGGGAACCAAATGATATACCCTAAAGGTACACAGTTTTTACAGTAGTGAATGTTTACATGTGCCAAGCGCCACTGGAAGCCTTTCACAGCTGCCATTTCATTCAGTCCTTGCAGTAAGTGCTGCCATTATCATCTCCACTTATCTGAGCTACCAAGACTCAGAAGGGTAGGGTAACAAGTGGGAAAGAAGCATTTAATCACAAGCTGCACCCTATCTCTCATGGGTGGAGGTGCTAGACGTATTGTTACTAAATCTCTTAGATCAAGTTTGGTGGGTAGGCAGAGTGAGAGAGGCGTGTGTACACACACACACACACACCCACACACACACACACACACACACACACACACACACACACACACACACACACACACACGGCACTACATACTGACAAGTCTTTAGCCTAAAGAAGTATCAGTGTTGAAAAAGAAAAGAAGCCAGGCGGAAGTAGCACATACCTTTAACTCCAGAACTCAGGAGGCAAAGGAAGAGGATC